TGTGAAAGAGAGAGAATAATGTTAAAAGAGTCAAAACCTTACAAGATCATACATTGTCTGGGGGACATAACACCACTGCATTGCCATTGGATTCTGATATTATATCTGATATATAAGCTATACTTATATAAATGTTAGCCATAAATTGTTACTATACAGTTTCTTGAAGAGAATGTGTGTCCTTGACTTTGTGTGCATAACATCATAAATGTGATGCAGTTTTTTCCCTTGAGGCTTAACAGATGAAAGACAGATGTTGGAAAACTTGAATCATCCTTGCCTCTTGAGTGAAACAGTGAACACTTCAAACGTGGGGTGGGAAGGAAGTCTTAGGACAAAAGGCACAAACAAAAGGCTTTTACTTTGGGTGGGTAAAAGCAAGCAAAGAGATGAGTTGATGAGACTTCAAATGAAGGTTAAGCCAGAAATTAGCATGTACCTTTGCTGACAGTGGTCCTGATGACACATAGCCTTTTAAACAATAACTTCTTATTTACATGAAAATGATATTCAGGGCCTTATTATTTTGGTGGTTACCAAAATAATACATATTTATTATAGAAAATTTGTAATCACCTGAAAAGAAGAACAAGGAGGTCTGGTAGCATAGTGGTTAAAGCATTTGGCTGTTAATGAGAAGGTTGGTGGTTTGAACCCACCAGCTGCTCCATAGGGTGAGAAAGATGAGGCAGTCTGCTTTTGTAAAGATTGACAACCTTGGAAACCCTATAGGACAGTTCTACTCTGTCCTTTAGGGTCACTGTGAGTCGGAATTGACTTGTTGGCAATGTTTTTTTTTTTTTTTTTTGGTTTTGGAAAAGAAGAACAAATAAATACTCCCTAGAATTCTAATCCTTAGGAATTCTATTAACATTTCAGCTCTGTTCTTTCATCTGTCCTTCCATTCATGTGTCTGTCTAGCCATCCATCCATACATTCATCCACATACCCATTCTTTCTTGTTTTAAAATAACAACTGAAATAAAACTGTGTATTGTTCTGTAATGTGCTGTTTTTTGCACAGGAACTGAGATGGAGCTTATCCTAGCATAAGGGATTTAGGTTAGCTAAATGTACTAGGAGCTCTGGTAGTGTAGTGCCTAAGGCACTTGACTGCTAGCCAGAACGCTGGTGGTTCAAACCCACCAGCCACTCCTCGGAAGGAAGATGGGGCAATCTACTTCCGTAGTGATACTGCCTCGGAAACCCAAGGAGGGATCGCTATGAGTCAGGTCTGACTTGACTGCATATAACAACAACAACAACAACATGTGTACTAAGAAGAAAATGTCTAATGTGCTTTATCAATGAGTTATTGAGGGAGAGTACAACATTTTCTTCTCTGGCAATCTTAAAATATAATAGGATAAACTCTCATCTCTCTGATGGCAAGGCCATGACCTTGCTTTACTGCCGTGTTATTCTCTGACGTGTGGGCAAACCTCAAAGAGTGCTTTTCTGTGGAGTTATTTCTCCTTAAAATGGCAGAAAGATAGATTGGTTAGAATATGATGTAAGAGAGATGTTTATTAATCCCTCACCTACACTTGCCTTGAGGACTGAAGAGTGCATCTCTCCCAAGAGTGTGAGACTGTTCAACTTTTCATTTTTAAATATTGAAATCACTGTAACACTCTACTCTGACTAATCCAGAATAAAGACAAGAAAGATTACTGTCACTAGGATATAGTTTTATATGAGCAAATCGTTTAAAATAGGCTTAAATCTAAGAGGTGGAAACTGCTTTGTCTAGACTAAAGGAATTTATGTCAGATTGGCTGGGATAATGGTGTGTGCATACATGGGCGTGTGTGTGTATTTGAGAGAGAGGGACAGAGAAGGAAGAGGAGGAAGGAAGACGAAAGGGAATGAAGGAGGAAACATACACTATATGCTTCCTATACTCTGTACCATTAGAGGGAAGATCTAATTAAGAAATTAGGATAAACATTTGGACCAAAGTAACAGATTGTTGGATCCAAGATTTTCATAGAATACCTTTTTTTGTGTACGTGTATGTGTAGATTGTACTCATGAGGAATCTGTACCTTGACTAGGAGGCTGTCGTTCGAACAGAACAAGGGGACACTACATGGTTTAAAATCAAGAAGGGAGTGTGTCAGGGTTGTATTCTTTCTCCACACTTATTCAATCTATATGCTGAGCAAATAATCTGAGAAGCTGGACTATATGAAGAAAAACGTGGTATCAGGATTGGAGGAAGAATCATTAACAACCTGAGATATGCAGACGATACAACTTTGCTTGCTGAAAGTGAGGATGACTTAAAGCACCTACTGATGAAGGTTGAAGAATACAGTCTGCAGTATGGATTACATCTCAACATAAAGAAAACAAAAATCCTCACAACTGGACCAATGAGCAGCATCACAATAAATGGAGAGAAGATTGAGGTTGTCAAGGAATTCACGTTGCTTTGTTCTACAATCAATGCCAACGAAGCAGCAGTCAGGACATTAGACGACGTGTAGTATTGGGGAAGTCAACTGCGAAGGAACTGTTTCAAGTGCTGAGGAGCGAGGATATCTCCTTGAGGACTAAGGTGCGCCTGACACAAGCCATGATATTTCCAATCGCCTGGTATGCATGTGAGAGCTGGACAATGAATAGGGAAGACCGAAGAAGAGTTGATGCTTTTGAGTTGTGGTGCTGGCGAAGAATGCTGAAAGTACCGTGGACTGCTAAAAGAACTAACAGATCTGTCCTGGAGGAAGTGCAGCCAGAATGCTCCTTGGAAGCAAGAATGGCCAGACTTCGTCTCACCTATTTTGGTCATGTTGTCAGAAGGGACCATTCCCTGGAGAAGGATGTCATGCTTGGTAGGGTGGAGGGTCGACGAAAGAGGGGGAGGCCTTCAGGGAGATGGATTGATACAGTGGCTGCGATGATGGGCTCGAGTATAGCATGGATTGTGGGGCTGGTGCGGGATCAGGCAGTGTTTCATTCTGCTGTGCATGGGGTCGCTATGAGTCGGAAACGACTCGACGGCACTTAACAACAACAACAATGTGTAGACACACACACATGCACACACAAATAAATATATAGGAGATGGGGCACCCTCCCTATCGCGTAAAGATACAGAGAAGTGATAGGGAAGAGATCTTCTTTTGTTGAACGTTTTTGACCACAAAAGAAATTAATATTAGTTAATTCATTTTCATTCATTCATCCAATAAATATTCCTTGAACTCATTGAATACTGGCACTATGCTGAAAATGGAGGATAGGAGGTTGCCTAAAGGCATTAAGGAGTGGTAACAAGCCTTTTAGTCAGTGGTGCGTGAGTAACAGTTAATCTGTACCTATTACTTGGTGATCACAGAGAAGTCCCTGTGATAAAGATAAAGTCTAAACTCCTCAGTCTGAGAAGATTTTTGTAATTGGTCTCCGCTTAACTGCCCAGCTTCACCTCCTAATGCCTCCTGCCCATCTTATGTTCCACTCATTCCTACGGGAAAAATTTATCAAGCTCTAGGAGCTCTGGTGGTGTGGTGCTTAAGATATTTGACTGCTAACTGGAAGGCTGGTGGTTCAAACCCACCAGCCACTCCTCGGAAGGAAGGTTGAGCAATCTACTTCCGTAGTGATACTGCCTTGGAAACCCAGGGAGGGGTCACTATCAGTCGGATCTGACTCAGTGGCAGTGAGTTTGGTTTGGTTTCATGTTGTGAACAGGCATTTTCAGATAACTTGCTGTTCTTCAAATGTGCTTGGTTTCTTCATGTCTTCTTGCTGGGCTCTTGTTTTCCTCTGGGGGGATGTGGCCCTCCTTTTGCTGATGTGATATTCTCCCACTCATCACTCTGTCCCACTAGTCAGTTAGATCCTGGAGAGTGCAGACCTTCTCCTTCACTGTGATCTTCCAGTACCCAGTACAATGCTTGGACAATCTCCTATCCACCGTTTTCAGCATAGTGCCTGTACTTGATGAGTTCAGGAAACATTGTTGAATGAATGAATGAATGACAATGAACTAATTAATCAATATTAAATTTCTTTTGCAATCAGAAATACTCAACAAGGGAAATATTTTCCCTATTGCTTATTTAGATCGCTATGTGAAAGAGGATGGGTGCCTTGTCTCCTGTATGTGTATTTGTGTTTTGAACAAATTAATGAGCCAGGCAAAGCCAGGTATAGTCCATGTGTGTTTTATGAAATGGACAGAATTAATATTGGTAGAACTTTGAAATTAGGCTGCAACACATCTATATAATCTGTCTCACTTCCCCTTTCCAATCAAAGATTAAAGAATTCATTCCAGGTTTCTAGCTCCTAGTCCCAGTCCCGGTCTGTCTGTCTGTCTTTCTCTCCTGTCACTCTCTTTAGTAATAGTGGCTTTTTTTCCCTTTTTATTATTGTAAATATGTGTGTGTGTGTATGACACAAAATTTTCCAATTTAATACTTTTCATGTGTACAACTTAATGAGATGAATTACTTTAATCATACTGTGCAACCATCACCAATATCCATTGCCAAATTTCTATCAAGTGGCTAACATTTAATGAATGCTCATTATATGTCAGGAACTATTCAAAGCACTTTACATGTATTAACTCATTTACTCCTCATGACAATTGTAAAAGGAAGATGCTATGATTATTCCCATTTAGTATGTGAGTAAACTGAGGTAAAAAAAGTATGAGTCATTTTCCCACGGTCATTTGGCTGATAATTGTCTCAGACACAATTTCAAAAAGGCATATTTGCAGCATGAAATGGATATTCTTTGATTTGAATAAGATTTTGCTTATATTGTATTGGTTGTAAATGTCTCTCTAGAATAAAACCTTTTGTTATAATAGGCAGTTAAATGAATTATTATGGAATGTTATTTTGTGTTGATTATTAGTGGTAATTATGCTGCTGGAAATGTCTGTAGTTACATATAAGAACAGTGACATCAAAGATGTCTGTTATTGGGTGTTTTTTATTTTTCTTTCTTCTTCTTCTTTTTTTTTTTTTTTTTAATAGGACAGAGTTCATTCAAAGAGGCAGAATTTCAATCACTGGGGCTGGATTTCTCAACTGCATTTTGGAAACTTTTGCCAGCACATTCTTAAAACAGGGTGCCCAGAAGGTAAGCCTGTTTTCGTTTTGAAACAACATTAATTATTATTTTTTTTATTAGGATTTGGGTGAAGATTTACAGAGTAAATTCACTTTTCATACAG